ACCGACTTTAAATGGGGTCCTCTCAGGTTGGTCTTCTACATTCTTCTACTTTGACCCTTCTTCTTCTACCACTACTACATACTACTGCTACATTTTCTTTGTTTGGCTGAAGTAGAAGGTGTAGTGGATGGTGCTAACTGGGATATGGTGCCATCGTGTAGCGGCTGGTGGATGGCGCTGGTGGGTGCCATCGTGTCGGTCGTGGCGTCGTTCTGCCTGTTCCTGCTGAAGCCGCCCGCCATGGAGGAGCTCGGCCACAAGCGACCCCTCCTGCACGACAACGACTACGTCTCCTACCACTGATGATCGTCATCCACCTCCTCTGTTTTTGCTCGAGTGACCACCCTCTCCTTCTGTACCCTCGGCATTTCTCGATATTTCTTTTGATTTTTCCTGCGGGCAAGAAGAAAACAATAAATAATTTATTTTTTAAAATCAAATTGGCTTCAGAATGCGGGCAGGCCGCCGGAGCACCACGGCAGCTGTTGGGTTGCCATTACGCAGCCTCCTTACCTTGCGGTAACACGTGTGCTCTCATTACATTTAATCGGAAAATCTGTGCATGACAATGACGATTGACATCCATTCTGCCTTGTGGTGTGGTCGCCAGAGTGCGCACGGCAGCCACTCTGTGCGAGTACGGCCAGCGGGTGCTGACGTCGCCGGTGCCGGAGGAGAAGGCGCGCCTGACGCACGAAGCCAACGAGCGGTGGCGCACGCAGGCCATCACCGACCTGGGCGACATCGCACCGCCTCTCCAGCCCGCGCGACCACCCACACCCGAACTGCGGGACAAGCGCAACATGCCCGGCGCCAAAGAACGTACGAACACTCTCACCACGCCGCACACACACACACGCACGCACACACGCACACACGGCACACACGGCACACGTGCACACATGTGCGATCTGACTGATGTGCTGTGCGCAGTGAACGTGCCATTGCCGATCTATCTCCTACACTCGTTGGCACACATCGAGGTACGAGAGCGCAAAAACTTGCTTGTTATTATTTTTATTTTAATTGTTGTTATTATTTTTATTATTGCACTTATATTCTTGTTCTTCTTGTTCTTCTTCTTGTGAAGTTGAACGCGGTCGATCTCGGGTGGGACCTCATCCTGCGGTTCAGGCACGAGAACATGCCTACGGAGTTCTACACAGACTGGGTGCGCTGTGTGTCATCGTGTGTGTGTGCCGTGTGTCTGTGTCGTGTATGTGTGTGTCGTGTGTGTGTGGTGCGACTCAACGCCTCCTATCATAATAGGTGTCGGTGCTGAGCGACGAGGCGCGCCATTTCGGATTGCTGTCCTCGCGTCTCGTTGCGCTTGGCTACCACTACGGCGTGATTCCCGCACACGACTCGCTCCTGCGCGTACCCCCCCCCTCCTTTTGCAATCGTTGGTTCTACGAATTCTGTTAACAATTCCTCTTTCTTCGCACCATCGCGCACAGGATGGCGAGACCACCGGACACAACCTGAAAGCGAGACTTGCGGTACTTAATCAGCTCTGCTCTTCACACACACACACACACACACACAGCGCACACTAACCACGACTTCTTTTTTCCTCTTTGCGATCGCCACGTTCGCCGACGCTCTGCACAGATCATCGCTTTGGGTGCGCGGTCCGACTCTGTCGTGTATGACGCTTCCAGACACTTTGTGCGATCTCGTGTCATGTGGTGTCGCGTGTGTCGCGTGTGTGCCGTGTGCGTCGTGTGGTGGTACTCTCGCAGTACACGAGACGCACGGCTTGGATTCGTGGGAGCGGCTGGTGCAGCGATTCAACTCCAACGCTGACAAGGAGAGCGGTCGGATCGTAGACACCATCTGCCGCGAGGAGATCGACCACGTCAAGAAGGGCCTCAAGTGGTACCATCACCGCCTGCGCCGCGTGTATGCGTGTGCGACGTGTTTTTTATATTATTATTATTATTATTATTATTATTTTAAAATAATATATATATATATATATAAAAGGTTCCGATATCTGTGCGAGCGGGACGACGAGGACCCGGAGACCGCGTTCCAGGCCATCGTGCACCAAACGCAAATCCCGGTCTGCGGGCCGTTCAACAAGGAGGCGCGCGACCTCACCGGAATGCCCGAAGAATGGCGCGCACCACACCCTCTATCATGTGTCGTGTTGGCGTGTGTCGTGCTGACGACATGTTGCCGTGTTGCGTGCAGGTATGTGCCACTACAGCGTATGCGGAAGCATCCACCACGAGTCAAGAAGCACCAGGCCAGGAAGGCCACTACCACAGCACAGCACGATACCCCGCATTCCTCAAATAGTTGCTCTACATAAAAAATTTATGTTATTATCATAACAATGTGTGCCTATCCTAGATCATTTCCATCTTTAAATTTTTGCATCAATCAGTCGACATAGACGCACACCATGACCAGACGCGTCTCAACACCAGTATTGTGGATACCTGCAACCACATTATTGTCACCATCATTAATTTTGTTATTATTTGTTTTTCGGTCGAAGAGGCGGTGCGTGCCTGAGGTTTGGTGGCCGGGGGAGATTGTTGACGGCGAGCGCGACAGCCAGCATGACCAGCGCGCCCAGCACCGTGGTGACCACGTAGTAGTAGCCGGCCTCCACCACCTTCCCCGAAGCCAACACGGCTATGATCGCGCTCGCTCCTGCACGCGTGCCACACGGCGTCAGTTCCCAAGGAATGCATCCATTCACTCTGTTGCGGGTGAACGCACCTCCGGGCGGGTGCAGCGTGCAGGTGAGCTGCATGACGGCGATCGATATTGAAACGGCCAACGCGGCAGCCAACGGCATTGAGACGTGTGCAAATAGTTTGTGGCATGAGACTGCACACACCGCACACGTCAACACACACACGACACACAGACACACAACACAAACACGACACACACAACACACACAGAGCATCGCTCGCATGCACACCGCACACCGCACGTTGTACCTCCGATGAACGAGGAGAGGGCATGTCCGCCTACCAGATTGAGCGGCTGCGAGAGCGGCGAGGTGGGCGCCGCGTACAATAGCACCGCCGTCGCCCCGTAGCTCCCTGCACCCGAGTGTGCGGTCATGCGTGTCGTGTGTCGCATGTCGTGTGCGGTCGTGCGTGTGTCGTGTCGTGCGTCAGTCAAAGCCCAGTGGCCGGCGAGGTGGTGAGTCGTGCGTGCCGATGAGGAGGACGACGTCGCCGGGCGAGTAGAGGAAGTCGTCGAGGAGGCCGACGAGGAAGATGCCCAGGAAGGACCCGACGAGCGAGGTGGCGACGACCCACAGCGGCACGCGCCGGCTGGCCAGGCTCGGTCGCCGCTGAGGCTTGCGGCCGGCCCACCGCCGCACGTACTTGCCCGGCCGGCAGGGCAGCACCACCACCCCGCCCCACCTGCTGCTGGTGCTCTCGGCCGGCTCCTTCTACGAACAAGTTGTTAAAAATAAAATAAAATAAATAAAAATACATTTATGCCACAGAGTAGGCCATTTTTACCGGGTGAGCAGGGCGTGCTGGCTGCAGAGGGGTATGCTCATCCATCTTTTTAATTGAAGATGGACAGCTTTTCTTTCTTTACTTTACTTTCTTTTCTTTTCGATTTGAAATGGGTCCACGGGGTTTGTGTTGGCGGCCTGTGAGAGGTGTGTTGGATGGGGGCTGACCATGGCTGCATGGCCCCAGTGGCACTGCGGTACACCAGCGAGGCCATGGGCAGGGAGCTCCCAGATGGCAGAAGGTGGGCACCATGGGCCAACAGCTAGGCAGTCCCTCACAGAACCATGTTCATGGAACCATGTTCACACTCCTCAAGGCCATGCAACTGGCTTGAGGAAGGCACAGAAGATTGCTGGTGGTTGCTAGTGCTTCATCCCCACAGAAGGCAGGACAAAGGGGACTCATGCAGTGGCCCACAGCTTGACCAACATATGTTGCAGCCTCCTTGCCATCACTGTCACAGCATTCCTCCCAGTGGCAGCTCACACCCCAGCAGTTACCAGCCAGTTCAACAATGCCAGTCCATGGCTGGTGGCATTGGCAGACACTCACATGGCAGCTATGGACAATGTGGCCACTTCTTGTTGTTGTGCCACTATTGTGCCACTCTGGTCCCCACTGCAGCTGGCTCCATGGCCCTTGTTGGCACCAACACAACTCATGGGGGCAGGGGCAGAACAGTTTGGTGCATGTTGGGCAAGGGTGTGGGTGAGGGCAGTGGTGAGAGCCACAACTGGGAGAACACCAGTGGAGCCAGCATGTGGGCATCCACTCCCTCTGTTGGCCAGGGTCCTTGGGGGGGGGCAAGAGCAAACTCCACAAGCCACTCAGTCAGTTGTCATAGCTGTCCAGACATGGCCAAACCTCCTGGGGCAGTGGCAGTGAGTTAGTTTGTCAGTGATTATGGGGAATGGGAGAGTACCACAAGAGTGGCTTGCTGTAATGTCATGGTTGAGTAGGTGAGTGACTAATTGGAGTGCTGAGTTGGTGAGTGGCAGTGGACAAATGTGTGGGCAACAAGGGTGTTGGTGTTGGTGATGATGGGTGACATGCAGTGGTGTGTTAACCTTGGTGATGGTGGGTGCTGGCCTGGGCAAAGTGTGTGTTGGTGATGGTGGGCAATGGCCTCCAGTTGGGGCACTGCTTACTCCATTTAGTGGCCCAGGCTCACCACAGCTGCCACATAGAAACTCATCAATTGGGTCAGTGGTGGGCATGCCATTAGTAGTCAACAAACCCAAAGCAACACTGCAGTGAGCAGGATAGTGCCTGTAGCATCATGGTGTGGTTTGGCACAGTGTGCTTCAGCCCAACCTTGATGTGCTTGATCTCATGCTCCTGGGTGTTGGTACTGAGCAGTGCATACCCAACACCTAAGACATGATAGAGTTCCTGTGTCCACCATGACAGATGCCCTCCAACACAGTGAGTGATGTCCAGGAAAACATGCAGGGCACATGGACCCCAACACACCATGGGAAGCTGTGGAAATATTGGTGGCCACCTCTGACCACACCTCTCCTGGAAGAATGCCCTCTCCCTCTCTTTAAAGGCCCAATAGTCGTTGTTTTGGAACAGATGGAGGCCTTTTGCCATTTCTCCTGCTATCAGATTGCAAAGAAGAAACCATGCACCTTCCCTCCCCAGTGTGGCTCTCTGGGCATTGTGATTGTGCTCGAACTGCCTTGCCCAGCCCACACACGCCACCAAACCTAGGTCAATTTGTTGTTGACATCCAACTCCAGCACCGACAAAGTCCCAGTACACCATTCTGCAGGGCAGACATTGCTGATGGCCCAGTCGATCACATGCCGATGGCCCTGCTCCGCTGCAGAGACCAGCACCAGGTGGTCCCATGGGCAGCCATTGGCCCGCGCCCACTGGAGCACCTCGAGGTGGCCCTCAAACGCGGCGTTGGCAGTCGTCCACCCCTGCCACGGGCAGCCATTTGCCCGCGCCCACTGGAGCAGCTCCAGGTGCCCGCCCAGCGCTGTATTGGAACACGTGTATGGGTCCCATGGGCAGCCATTCGCCCGCGCCCTGGCAAGGTCGTCGTCCATCGGGCAGCCGTTGGCGCGTCACTTGAGCACGTCGGTGAAGGCCAGGGTCGCCGCTCATCCAACCATTTTTTAACTGCATTTTCACTCCTCGATAGATAAGAATAGATTTTGTGGTCTGTAATGTACAGAAGGGAGGAGGCAAACATGTGACAAAAGATGAAGGTGAGAGAGGCCGATGCGGAGAGGGCGAGAACTGGAAAAAGCCGCGGCTCAAACGAGCACGTACTCCTCGTCGTCCTCGTCCAGGAGGACGGAGCAGGAGTCGGATCCGCTCCGAGAGGTGGATGGAGAGGAGGTCGAGGAAGAGGGGGAAGACGAGGAAGATGAAGAGGAGGAGGATGATGAAGAGCCTTTGTACACTGTTTTCTGCTCCGCTATCGAAAAAACGCACGGGTTCGCTCGGCCCAACTGTTGTGGTTGGTTGTGGTGTTAGATAGCCGCAGGCAAGAATCGGCTGCTTCACAAACAGGAAGGGAGGTGGTACCGCGACGGCGTTGAGGCAAAAGTCGTCAAACTCGGCCTGCGAGGAACACAGGAATCCCAGCGCGAGCGAGGGGTCGATGTCGTCGAACGACATGGCCTGGGGAATCTCCATCCGATACGACTGCGGTGTGTCGGAGTGAAGAGACACTGCGCGGTGAGAAACTCATATTTTCTTTTTTTAAAAAAAAAAAGTGGAACGTAAACGTACCTCGATGGGGAACAGAGGGTCGTCGTCCATCTTCACCGTCGGCTGAACAAAGTGGGGGTCCATGTACAGCACTTTGTTGTCTGTGACAAAGACAACAAACGGGAAGAGGATAAGAAAAAGTGGCAAAGAGAAACCGTGACATGAACGACGACACAGATGAAGAGAGAGCAAGAGTGAGAAAGAGAAGGTAACACGATACCTTGATAGCCCACGAAGTAGAAGGAGGAGTGGGGCTTGCCGCCGATGACGCCCAGGCATTGGGGGAAGGAGAAGAAGGCCTTGAGAGTGGGAATGTAAATTGGGTTGAGGCATTGGATCCCAAGCCTCACCGGCACCAAAATGATGACTGGATGCCACGTCAGTTCGGCTGCGTCTTGGAAAGAGAGAGAGAGAGAGAGTCAGCACACAATTGCCCGCGCAAAGCGAGTGCGGCTGCTGATGGTGGGCGCAACGTACTAAAGTTGTCGTCGAGCGAC